CAACTGAGCCACACTAGCTGGGATATAGATATTACTTCTAACAAAACAACTATAAAGCTACTATTACCTATTTCACAGATGCCAGACCATACCTGCAATCACTGAGCTAATAAATGAAAGTGTCACATTTTAACCCTCTCTCTGCCTGGCCCCAAAGCCCACCTCTGCAGCACACGTCCTACCTGCAACCTGTAGTTTTTCCTTTTCTCTTCCCTCTGCCCCATTCATCTGATCTGAGTTGCACTGAGTCTCATAAATGGCTATATGTATCAGATACAGAACAACTCTTAATTTTTACATATGCTTTCCCATAGCTGTGCAGGAAATCATTTATTTATTCATTTAACAAATATTTATCGAGGGCCTACTCAGTGCCAGAATTATTCTCAGCTCTGGGAATACAGAAGTTAATAAAACACAGAGCTTCTTTCTCTCACGGAGCTGACATTCCAAGAGGAGACAATTATAATAAAATCAATATGCATAATATACAGTACATTAAACAATGATAAATGCTAAGGAGGCCAAGAAAGCAGAGAGGAGGCTAAGAGTGTATCACTTTCAAGTGGAAAGGTGACATTTAAAAAAAATTTTTTTTTCTTTATTGATTTTAGAGAGGAAAGGAGAGGAAGAGAGAGATAGAAACATCGATTGGCCACCTCCTGCATGCCCCCCACTGGGGATTTGACCCACAACTGGGGCATGTGCCCTGACTGGGAATCGAACCAGTGACCTCTTGGTGCATGGGTCGACGCTTAACCACTAAACCACACCAGCCGGGCAGGAAGGTAAGTTTTTAAAAGGCCTGAAGGCAGTGAGGGAGCAGCCTCCCCCTCCACCCCAAAACTTGGGCCAACAACTTTCCAGTCAGAGGGTTTGAGGAACTTCTGGGAGGCCGACAGGGTTGCACTGGAATAAGTACAGGGGATCGTGGTTGGAAATGAAGCCAAAGAGATACTGGGGTACCCTGGCTGGTGTGGCTCAGCTGGTTGGAGTGTTGGCCCATACACCAAAAGGTTTCAGGTTCTATTTTCAGTCAGGGTACATACCTAGCTTGTGGGTTCGATCCACAGTTGGGGCGCATAGTAGAAGCAACCAATAGATGTTTCTCTCTCTCTCAAAAAAAAATCCAAAAATTAAATAAATAAACATATACTCAGGTGAGGATTTAAAAAAAAAGATATTGGGGTAGGCAGCCAGGGTGGGGATGAGGCCTGGGATAGGGGGAGACTTTGGCTTTTGTTCTGAGATGGGAGCCATGGGAGAGTTCTAAACTGAAGAATACATGACAAGACACAATATGACACACACACACCCCTGGGTTAACAGGCTAGAATCATCTGGGCAACAGGTGATGGTGACTTGGAGCAGGGGGCTGGCAGTGGAGGTGGCCAGCCGTGATTAGATTCTAGGTCGTCACTGAAGGTGGAGTGGACAATTTTGCTGATAACTTGAGAGAAAGAGGAATGGAGGACAATGCCAAAGTTTTGGCCTGAGCAACTGAGAGAAGCCAGTAGATACTTACAAAGGGAGGCCAGAGCCTGGGAGGAGCAGATTTGGGGGGACTATCTTGAGCTAAATTGCCCATCAGAATGATCTGGATGTGTGTAGCAGGCAGCTGGCCAGACTTTTCTGCTAGGAAGCCCTTAGAAGCCTGTCTCCTCACTCATTGTCTTAGTCTGAGCTTCCTGGGCATGACTTTCCTCAGACTCACCCACTCCTTATCCCACATCCTACTACTTGATTCTGTGTCTTCCTCTACTCAAGTTCTCCCACTTTTATTTTTTTCTTCTAACAACTATTTTGCTAACCTTGGGGTTTACAAAAAGTATGTAGGTAGTTTTCAGTTTTTTCTCTGATTCCCAACACATATTCCAATCATTCATTCATTCATTCATTCATTGGACAAATTAAGTACACATTCTGTGTTAGACATGTGTGGAGCTAATTGCCATTTACATTCTAGAAAGGGGATCAAAACACCCCTTTTAAAATTGATTTCAGAGAAGAGGGGGGAGGGAGAAAGAGACAGAGAGAGAGAGAGAGTGGGAGGGAGGTAGGAAGAGGGGGAGAGAGAATGAGAGAGAGAGGGAGAAAGAAACATTGATGGATTGCCTCCTGCATTCACTCTAAGTGCCCCAACAGGGGATTGAACCCGCAACCTAGGTATGTGCCCTGATCAGGAATCCAACCAACCACCTTTTGGTGCACAGGATGAAACTCCAACCAACTGAGCTACATGGGGCCAGGGCAAAAGGCCCTTTTTTTATATGTAAGTCCACATTCCCTTATAATAATGACGAAATTCAAAAAGCTCTGAAAACAGGAAGTTTCTGGCAAATTTGGCGTGGACTCACTTGCAGACAAATATGACACGAACTGATGTGAAGTTGTTGATGGTCCTTATCTACCCCATTTAGTGGGGTAGAATCTGCATACAGTCCCATGTAGATATACAGGTGTGTGTGGTAGGTGTGTCTGGGGTGGGGCTTTCAGACACTGGGTCAGAACTTATACTTCCCTGTCCCCGAGTTCATGAGGGTCCCCACATGCAAGACAGTTTCTCTAAGAACTTCTTGCTTTTTATAAATAAGTGTGTGTGTGTAAAGGAAGCATATTATTTAAATAAGTAGTCAACCTGTAGTTAATTTTAAAAAGCCAAATATATTATAAAATATGGCTCATTTAGGCCCTGGAATTTTATGAGCAAAACAACCACACGTGGCTGTAAAAATCCCACAAGAACATCCAAATTTTTGACTCAATTATAATATTAATTAAAATTAAATTAATTAAATATTGCTTAATATTAATTTTATAACTCCAATCTGAAACTACAATTTAGATGTAAGGAATAAGAAGAGCCAGATAAACAATTTCACAACATCTCCATTTCTGGTGCATGGCTCCATGCCAGCAGTGCTTTTGTGATAAATGTAGTTAATAGATGAATATTAAGGTAACATGTGCCCTTCACCCAGAAAGCAAATATCAACAGAATTTCAAAGGACCTGTTCTGCTAATTGGAGGTAATTAATAAATCTTTCCCTGTCCTCCTGATTCCTCTTTTGATAGATTTGGTGGTTTACCTGGGACAAGAGAGAAATGTACCTATAGGGCTAAATAATTCAGTATTGCTTTTACTGAGGGGCAAACCATTTCTGAACTCACTCCTGACCCACATCAGTTGGAATATCACAGGATCACAGAACAAGTTATTGCTTCCGTCATATATTATGGGAAGTCTTCTTAATAAAACTACCAAGTCCCCTCCCATACTTCTGCAAGCCTGTGAGAGAAGTGCTGGTCAGTGAGAAAATTAAATTCCTTTTCTGGGGAGGGCTTATCAAATACTCATTCCTCTAAGAGCAGGTGAGCAGCCATTTCTAAGGTTATTTTAGAGTCGGTTCAAATCTTTAAACCCCCCCCTACTCCCAAGGACAGAGGGGTAAGGGTCTTTATATAAGTATATAAAGAATATTTCAAGGCATGAAGGAAAAGATGAAAACATATTGACAATATGTGCAGTAATTTAGAAAAAGTTGTTGATGTTTTGTGTTATTATCATTATTTTGTTGGGGAAGTCAGAACTGAGAGCCTTGTATAGGTTTGATATTTTAGATTTGCAGAGATAAAGTTGATTGGGAGAGAAAAAAACTCATGAAAGTCTGCACTGACTGTTTATTGCACAAAACAAGGAAATAATTAGAAGAAGGCATCACAGGCAGAAGCAGGAATGAAGTCTACGGGGGAGATAGCCTGGGACTCCTGCGCTGCATCCTGCCCTTGTCCTTCATTCCTGCGGGGCAACCCGGAGGTTAAAATTAAAACGATGAACCACCCCTGTCGCGCCCTAATGGCAGGGGCAGCTCGGCCCCCGGGACCCTTGAAATAGCCATTAGGAAACCCAACTCTCCTAGCGTAACGGAGAAAAAACCCCACAAAGACGGAGCCAGAGGGAGCGCCGAGGCTTCTCCCAGAGCGAAAAGAAAAGGAATAAGGAGGTTTTTTTTTTTTGTTTTTTTTTGAGGGGTGGGGTGTTTAAGGGGTGGGATTTGGATTCACAGACACACACACGCACTCGCACAACCTCAGGAGAAAATGCCACCGAGGAGTTTGGGCCACAAGTTGGGCTCTTTAACAAAATAATTAATAATAATAAAACCTTTTGGTAAAACTTTTCGCGCTATGAGATCTGTCCAAATAGGGGAGCAGCGGGGTGCGAAGGAATGTGGGGTTAAGAGGGAGGTGGGGAAGGGAGTGTCGGAGGAACTAAAAACTCCAGGATTTGGGGGGGGAAAGGTGAAAAGCGGGTCCTCAGGAAGCTGGATTCTCCGGGAGTTGTGGTAAAAAAGTGAGAAGGGGGAAAAGGGTTCTTTCCAAGACAAGCGCACCAACTTTTGGTTAAAAAGTGAGAAAGCGGTTCCAGAAGCACCCTCAAATTCAGTATGTTTGGGGGGTCAAAACGAAGTGGGTCCCCAGGACACTCCAAATTCAGGAATTTGAGGGTAAAGGTGAAAGTCTTCGAGGCCTTCCTAGTTGGAAGTTTGAGGTTAAGAGAGAGAAGGGTCCCAGGACCTTCAATTTCAGAGATTTGGGGAGTAGAAGGGAGAACGGGGGTCCAAAGGTGCTTCCAATTCAGGGAGTTTAAGGAAAGTTTGAGAAGGGTTATCGAGGCGCCCCCAATTCCAGGATTTTGAAGGTAAGACTGAAAGGGGTCCCCAGGCGCGCTATCCCGGAAGTTTTATAAAAGGTGAGGCGACGGATCCCCACCACCTCCCGAGTTTGGTTAAGAGGAGGGAGAGGGTCTCAGGGAGCCTCTAAACTCAGTCGCTCCTGCGGGACGGGGAGTGCGAACGCAGGTCCCGCCGGCGCGCAGTCCCAAACGTTTAGGATGAACGGCGTGGGGTGCGCCGCTCGTCCCCCGACCCCCTGTCCGGGGCCCCTACCGCCCCCAGCACTGCCCTCCCGGGCCCGGCCGGAGCGGTCGCATCGGTCACCTGGAGTTCGGGCCGGGAGTTCGGGCAGCGGCTCCCGCGGCGGCGGCGGCTGCTGCTGCGTGTTGGTCCCCGTTGGTAAGTAACAGTCTCCACGGCTACAGTCTCTATGGCGGCGGCGGTGGCGGCGGCGGCCGCTCCTCCTCGCGCCCTCGCCGCCCGCCTCGCACCGCCCGCCCGCCGCGACGGGGCGGGGCGTTGTTACCGGCAACGGTTACCAGGCTCTACGCCCCAACCCTTCAACGGCCCGCCCATGCCCGCCTCCAACGGGCGAGGGAGGGCGGAGCGCAAGTCTCTGCGGCGTCCTATTGGTTGAATGCGGTGCCTTGCAGGGAAGGTGTTCCCCGGAGAGGAAAAAAGACGAGCTCGGCCAATCGCCGCGAAGAAGGGCGGGGCTTGGCGGGAGGCGCGAGCTGCTCAGAAGGTTGACGACGGAGCGGGGGGGCGCGCGTGAGCGTGGGGCTGGTGGCTTGGCTCCCGGAAGGCGGTGTTTCCGGAACCTGCGGGCTGGCGTTTATTTCCCAGACCATTAAGGGATATCCAAGCACAGTCGGGGTCGGGCGTCAGCCCACAGTGACCTGTGGGTACACGCTGCATGCTTTTAACAAGATAAAAATTTTAAAATATTTTTTATTTAAATGGTTAAAAAAAGTAAAAAGAAGAATCTTTTCTGGCATGTAAAAAACCTGAAACTTTTTATTTGACTGAATCCAGTATTTTTAATACCTTCAAGGGTTGGCAAACTGACCAGCGGACCAAATGCTGTTTGCCTGTGTTTATAAATAAAGTTTTATTGGAACATTTTTCTTTAAGGGAAGTAGAAGGCTGCTTTCACTCTACAGGGTAGTGGAGAATTGAGTAGTTGCACAAAGACCCAATGGCAGAAGCAGAGCCCAAAATATTTACTGTCTGGTCCACAACAGAAAATGTTTGCCAACCCTCTTTCCTCCCCTTACCCCCAAATGGTAGGTTCAACTATGAGTAGGACATTTGCATGAAGATCAGAATGATGAGAAAAAAGGAAAAGAAAATTTCAGTAATTCAAAATCCCTGGGATGGGAACTCATGAACAAGCAGGAAGCTGGTCCTTGTGTGTGGCAGGAGGAGAGTGAAGGGGAAGGGCAAGAACAGTGAGTCATGGAATGGAGGGGCTCATTTCATTTGAGGTCTCATAAACCATGGGGAAGGGTCCTCTGCAGATTGGGAATGTGAACATAAGAAACATTTCAAACATGTAGAGAATTTTTGTGAGTTTATTTGAACCAAACTCTTGACAATCGCCAGGAAGCAAAATCTCAATGGATTGAAAAAATGTTCCAGACAATGGCAGTTTTGCATTTTATTTTATACATTACTATCAAAAAAGAAGATGTAAGTGGGTTACATGAAATCCATTGGTGATAGATTTAGGGAGGCGGAGGAAATAGCAAATGGGGGGTTGCCTCTGAGGTGGAATAAAAAGTAAAATGATAGACACATGCTTCTTTTACATAAATGAGTACAGGATAGTTTAACAGTAAACAAATAACTCCATTAACAGTAACAATGAGAGAGAGGATTTATGGTTTTCACCCTGGTGCATTGGTTGTGCCTTGAGGGGTCTGGTAAAGGGGAAGTTACCCTGACATTTCAAAGGTACATTATGTAGATGAAAAAGATGATAGGCTTAATTAAGGTAAAGATTGATTTTTGTCAGGAAAGATTCTAGCCTAGGACATGACTACCTGCCATAGTTTTAATTTCAGACCATCCTATGTGATTGTTTAGGTCTCTGAGTTTGTAAGATTGCCATGCAGACCTCCCCTGAGCTTGTCAGGTTTAGTATGTGTTCCTTTTTTGTCAGGAAGCCATTGGAGGGTTTTTAACGGGAGTGGGGGGGTTGGGGGCAGTGGAGATGTACTACTGAAACAGGCCAGTAAGCTAGGATGAGTGGGGAAACTGAGACAGAATGTGGAACAAACTGACAGAGCAATTTACAGCAGATACAGAAGGTTACCTCCCTAGAAATAACATCTAGGCCTCAGTTGTATGTCAGCTCCAGGTCCAGAAAAGCAGCAAAACCAGGTGGGAGACACCAGGACCAGCTACAATGACTAATGACCCTCTGCCCTGACACTGACCAATCAGTGAAGACCACGGCCCTGAAAGAGCACACCTAGAAAACTGATGACTATTCTGTTGAAACCCTCCCCTGAGACCTCCCCTAAGATTCCCACCTGTAAGAAATAAAAGCCTCAAGACAAAGGACCCAGTGAGTGCTCTCCTTCCCAGCAGCACATCTGCGTCTTCCCCACCTCCTTCTTATTCCACAGGTGTGAATCTCCTAAATTCTAAGGGACCCCACAAGGCTTGCGACCAGGGCGGCAATGGGCAGCAGCATTTCATCCTAGACAAACATCATGAACCTGTCCCCAAGGCCCCATTTTCTCTGACTTCTTAGTGAGCCAAAGTAGACCAGCCTGGGCTCATTTCTCCAGCCCTTCCTTGTTTTACTGTCTCCAAGTTTAATAAACTCTAAAATTCACCTGGACTTGTGTTGTGAAATTTTTCCTGCACGAAGTCAAGAATCCGCACACTACCAGCTGGCCCTAGGCAGACCTGTTCAAGGCTAGGTCCCCTTTCCAGTAATAATATGATTGTGATTTGTGATTTTTAAAGCACATGTATAGAGAACAAATTGTAGGAGACAAGAAAGACAGAGAGCCCTGGCCGGTTGCTCAGTGGTTAGAGCGTCAGCCTGCGGTCCAGAGAGACCCGGGTTTCGTACCTCGGTTGCAGTTTGCCCCCAGTCCTGGTTGGGTTGTGGGGGAGGCAGCCACTCGATGTGTCCCTTTCACATCAATGTTTTTCTCTCTCTTCCTCCCACTCTATCTGAACAAAAAATGGAAAAATCTTCGGGTGAGGATAAAAAAAGAAAGACAGAGAATTTGGGTGTCTGTTACAGTTCCCCTGGACTAAAATGTATGGTGGCTTGGATTAAGGACCTGGTAGTGGAGGTGGATATGAGTGGGTGAATTGGAGATACATTTTGGAAAATATGCTAATGGACTAGATGTGGGGGGTGAGAAATAAAGTTTTAGGGTGTGATGGGAGGTGCCTTAGAGCCACCTTGTATAGTCCATTCTGCTATAAATTTGTTTTGAAATGTTAATTTATCCCAATATGTTGTTGTTACTAGAGAGCCACCCCAGTTGGAGGGGGCTCTCCCCTCCTTGGCTCTTGTCACATTCATGAGAAAGAATTCAGAGGAGTGACAGACAGCAGTGTTGAAGCAAAGCAAGCAAATTTACTAATAATACACTTGGCATAAAGGACAGGCAGACAATTTAGCTAATCTGAGTGCCCCGCCTGGTGGGGGTTAAAGGGTTTTATACTCACCCCCCCACCCCATCCCCATAGGTTTCAAAGTTCCCCTATCAGATAGACTAGATTTCAAGGTCCCCCTTTGACATCATTGTGCCTTTCTCTAGAATTTATGAGAACATCTGGTGATTTTATCTTGGCAAATCCCAAGACTGCTGACTTCTTTGTTCAGTGTGTGAGATAAACTCCCCATTTGTACTTCCCCCTTCCCCTCCACCTGCCCTAGCAGCCATCTTTCCTGCCTAACATTTCCCCCTTAAGTTATACCATCCAAATGCTTTGGGAGTTTTTGTTATTTGTCCCCCAAACTTCATCTGTCTTTGGGTTTAGCTGGCACAAATGGCATTAATTGGGTCTTTGGTCTCTATTTTCCCAAGCCAGGGTGATTTTAAGCTATGTGTTCTCTGGTTAGGGAGCAGAGGTATAAACCATTTGCTCTCAAGTGTCCTGGGTTGGGGAAGATAAGGTCTTGTGATTCACAGGCTGACTGCAAGCTACCCAAACTGTTTGGCCTTGTTTAATTTTCTTGCCTCAGTTTCCCCATTCCACTTGCCCAGGAATTTTCCTAGCTTCTTACTATCCTGCCACAATGTCATATTTACAGTAGTAGTTATGCATTTCTTAACCATTTAATGTGTAAAATTCTGCCATCTCAAAATCAGGAAGGAAATTAGAAAATACTTTCAGATGAGTGAAAATGAAACATAATATACCAAAACCTATAGGATGTAGCTTAGTAGAGGAACATGTATCACTGTAATCACCTGTGTTTTAAAAAGAGAGAAAGATCTCAAATGAATAATCTCACCTTCCATTTAATAAACTGGAAAATAAGAGTAAACTAAACCAGAAGCTGGAGAAGAAATGAAACAATAAAGATTAGGGCAGGAATAAAAGAAATAAATAATAGAAAATTAATACAGAGAATTAACAAAAACAAAAGTCAGTTTGAAATATTAACAAAGGCAACAAACCTTTAACTGGAATGACAGATCAAGATAAGAGAGAAAATTCAAATTACTAAAATCATGAACGAAAAAGGGGACATCACAGCTAACCCAGAAAAGATGATAAAACAGCTCAGCCATTGTGGCTCAGTGGTTGAACATCGACCTATGCACCAAAAAATTGCCAGTTCAATTTCCAGTCAGGGCACATGCCCAGGTTACAGGCTGGATCCCCAGTAGGGGGCATGCAGGAGGCAGCCAATTGATGTTTCTCTCCCTCTTCCTACCTCTCTCTCTAAAAATCAATAAAAACATATTTAAAAAAAGAAAGGATGAGCCTTGGCCAGTTTGGCTCAAAGGTTAGAGCATCAACCTGTGAACCAGAGAGTCCTGGGTTCGGTTCCCGCCAAGGGCATGTACCTTGGTTGCAGTATGTCCCCAACCCCAGTGTGGGTGGCAACCAGTCGATGTGTCTCTCTCACATTGATGTTTTTCTCTCTTTCTTCCTTCCTCTTTCCCTCCTGCTCTATCTGAAGATAAATGCAAAAATGTCCTCAGGTGAGGATAATAAATAAATTAATTAATTAAAAAGATGATAAAACAATACTATGAACAATTGTATACCAACAGATTAGACACCCTAGATAAAATGAACAAATCCCTAGAAAGACACAGACTACCAAAACTGACTTCAGAAGAAACAGAAAATTCGAATGAACCTATAACGAGTAAAGAAACTGCATTAATAATA